AACCCTCTTTCTAATGAATATTATCCAGTGATAGAACAAGACAAACTCGATCCTTGCTGCCAATGAAGAGACTTGTACGAACATTGGCTATTATAAAAATCACAATATCGAACAAGATGAACGACGAGCTACGAGAGAGAGATTTGAAGGATGGATATGACTTGACGCTCCATCAATTCAAGCCACAAAGATACGAATGCATGGGAAAGAAGTAGGGCAACATGAACGTCCATAAATGCGATGAAGAGAAATAAGCCAAGAAAACATGGTTACTTTAACGATGACCATGAGCTTAAAAAAGACCACACAATTCCAGTCAATGTGATCATTAGAAATTTGATCACCCACAGATTTTTTTTCTCTCCCTTGATTACAAGATTCCCAAGAGGAAACATCACAACATAAAATCGCATGCTACTCATATGAAGATACCATAAAAAGAACACAGACTTAAAAGAATGTGAAAGAAAAATTCTTTCCTAATGTGAAATTTCAAGCATGTACCAACTAAAATACGACGCCTTTTTGAATCGTTCTATCCCTAAGAGCCCACATTTTAGAGGGTTCCAAGTTTTTTACCGCAAACTTTCGAATTATTTCCTTTCAAATAATCTCTTTATCATTTCCCCTTCTCTTATTACACAAATGCATGTGGTGTTCACATAGTTTTTTCATACATTCACAGCTCTTAACCTCACACAAAGCTGATCCTAGTCCAGCAGAGCACCACACCCACTAAGCCAAGTATGCTTCAACAAGTTCCTTCTAGCTTAAACTCCAATAAATTCAACTCCATTCAGTGGAACTTAAATACGTCGTTAACCTTTCCAAATAAAGATGTTCATATATCGTAAGCATCCATTTAAAGGAAAAGCAATGCATTCCGATAAAAGGGTGAATGTACTACAAATACAAACACTGACCAAACTTATCTTTTTTAGGACAGTGCAAGTTCATTCCTCACCCTAAGTGAGAACTGAAACTCAAACTTTACAGTAAGGAAAAAAGCTTGAATTTTCCAAACCATAATGTTTCTAGAACTGGACATTCGCCCATCGAATAAAGAGCCTATCTTGAAAAGTCAGTTTTTGGGGAAAGTCCGAGTTCATTCATTCCCCGCACTAAAGTTCAAGTTTATCCTATCATTTTCAGGTAACTGCAAGCTTTTCTTTACTCACTCTTTGAAAACAGATGCAGAACATTAAAGATGCAGCCTTACCTAAAACTCTTACAATCTTTGAGACTATAAAATCCAACCACTGGAACCGCTACAATTCTCAACGCAGCCATCAAACAGAAACAGAAATTCATTCAAGAGTACTGAGAAATAAAGAAGTTCATACTTATCACAACAACTGGCAATTATCGACGTTCTTGTGTTCCTAGACAGTATGCAACTTCATGAAGCTATACAAGACACATGATCCCATTCAAAGAATAGCAATGGAAATGAATAAACTTATCAACACAATATGGCCAATCACCACATCCATCCTCCAACCAAGATCTCAACACCACGAGTGAAACCAAGTTCAAACCCTACGAACTACAATATTCACAATTCATGCCCTTATCTCAGATCAAAGAAAAGTGCCAAATTCCTCGATGTACAGAACGAAGAAAGAATTCGCACTTGCAAACCTGTAGATCTGGAAAATTCAAACAGAAGAACAACGCGCCGCCGCCGCAGATCTGAAAAAAACACCGTCGCCTCACGGCGGCCTCCGATTCAATTGATGCAAGGCGGGATCTGACAAGCAGCCGGTCGCTGTCTCACCGCCGGCAAATCGCCGGAGAAACACATCAGATCAGCGAATCAGTTCCCGACCTGCACCAAGCGAATTCGAGACCACCAGTAACATCAATCCATCCGCTTTTTCTTCTCTGTCTCCCTCCTCAAAGCGGAGATCAGAACACATACATACACGCATACATATGTGCATATACGTATAGACCTTCGCCATAGAAGATCTAAGCAGGACTATGGTTTAACAAAATATAATAGAGCGACGCGGCTGGTATTTATGATGGTAAGGGACGGATCAGATTCATCCACGTGTCACTCAGCAAATCAATGGATTAGGCGTAACGGTCCAGAGGCCCAGCCCGAACAGCTCGGTCTTCGTATGCAACACCAAGGCCCATCGAAATGACTGAAATACCCCTACCGACGCAAGTCTATTTCCATTTTATCCTTGTATTGTATATATAACTTTTATTTTATCAACCGAATGTAAATGTTTTCCTGTTAGATAAGAATAATGTATATAATTTTTTTGTATTAAATTTGTTAAGGCAAACGGTGTTAAAAGCTTAAATACATTATGTTATTATTATTGTTACTTACTAATTAGATATATATATATATATATATACTGTATTGGTGGACGTTTCGAAAATCGGTTTAGAATTTTAGCTGTTCGGTTCGAAAACGGTCGGTATTCTAAAATTTGTATTAAATTAATATCGTATATTATTCGTTTCGGTGCGGTTTCAGTTTTTTGTTAAAAATATATTTTCTTTTGGTTTGGTTCAGGTTACAAAAATTTTGGTTTTATAAAAAATATACCGTTTAAAAAAATTTTGGATGATACAATTCAATCATAATGGTTCCTATGAAGTATTTTTTCCATGTCTATGAAGTTACAGTAATTGTTTTTACCCGTAGTCTGTGATTTTACAGTAATTTTATTTTTACCCTTAGATTGTGATTTTACGACTGTAAATATTTTTTCACTCGCGCGTGTTATTAATATTACCTCTCTGTCGGGTGCCTCTTGAACACAAACAAGTTCTCTTCTTTATTCTTCACATAAATCGTAATTTCAATTTTCACGTTTTTTTCATTCAGATCTGAAACTATTTTCTGTATTTCCTCCGGAGACGTGATTGTCGTGACGATCACCGAGGAAGTTCTGGATTTCGCGTGGTCCAAATCGGAAGAACCCTAATCCGAGCTTGATTTCGCCGTTGATCGATCGGTGGGAGGAGGAGAAAGTGTCGAATTTTCGTTGGGTTGGGTTGATTCGTCACTTAATTGGATCGATTGAAGTTTCTCTCTTCCTCTGATGGAGCAGCTGAAGACGATCGGGAGAGAGCTCGCGATGGGATCGCAGGGTGGGTTTGGACAGTCGAAGGAGTTTCTCGATCTGGTCAAGTCGATCGGGGAGGCTCGATCCAAGGCGGAGGAGGATAGGATCGTGCTCAACGAGATCGAGACTCTGAAACGGCGGCTGATCGAGCCGGACGTGCCGAAGAGGAAGATGAAGGAGTACATTATACGCCTCGCCTATGTCGAGATGCTCGGCCATGATGCCTCCTTCGGCTACATTCACGCCGTCAAGATGACCCACGACGATAACCTCCTCCTCAAGCGCACTGGTTATCTCGCCGTCACGCTCTTC